CTCACTTTGGCATGTCTGCAAGAATAAAATCAACCTCTATACAGACTACATGTTTCTCTTGTTATTCCATCCTTGGCCTTGCCAGACCACAGTGACTAATATGGAAACTGTGGGATGGCTTTGCAAGCATTGATATCCAATGCCAATGTATTATGTCAGAGTTCAGGAGAGCAAAATAAAGTGAAAGCCAGAATCCCCTTTTAGGAGAAAAGACTAGCTCTAAACATGTAGATGTGATTCCTTTTATGATACCTATCTGTTGTCTGTCTTCTAATGTGTCTTTGTATTTGGTGTACGGTTAAATATCAAATGGTAGCAGCAATCTGATGGATAATTATTAAATGAAGACTCCAGTATTGCAAGTTAAACCTGTTTGAAGAGGCTTCAGGAAGGAACACAAATCTGTCTTTTTTTAAAGTTGAGCAACTCCCATATGGTGTATGCCAGCGCACATACATCCTCACACACACATCTTGCGTATCCCTGCTGAGAGGTGCTTGTTGTTCAACTGCGGTAAGTCAGCACCTCTCCAAAGCTTTTGCACAGCTGTACGCCATATGTACCAAACAAAACCAAGTCCAAGCATACACCCTGCATCTCAAGCTCTTAATCTGAATATCCCTCAGCCTACTCTTAGATTGCAAGTATTTCTCCCACCCTGCTCTTGGGCTTAAGGGGCAATATGGGCTGAATGCTGTGTGTCTGGCAGATGTTTAGTGACACTCATTTGTGTCTGTGTACTTTAAGTGTGTGTGTGTGCGAGAGGTTGTGTTTTCAAGCCATCTGGACAGTTTAAATGGGAGTGTTGATATTAATCTGTTTAGCTGGATGGCAATAGCTACGCATTCAGATGGAAATCACTCTTTATTATCCTGGGGATCAAAGGCGAATAAATGCAACACTGATGATGATGGTGTGTGTTTATGTGTGTGCGTACTCGTTCTCAGTTATCCGTGTCTATATTATTGTGCATGTCAGCTATAATCGTACACATCCCTGGTTGTACTGTCTAGCAAATCAGAGGTATAGCTGGCATGACGTAGGCCTTGGCCCAGCTGTACACCCCCACCTCCCGTCCTCTGAGTCCTGCCTGCTGCGTATAAGCCAGAGGTTGTGAAGAGGATGTGTGGGGATTACAGTGGGATTGCATGTCCAGTTCCAACCTCTAGTCCCATTCAAAACCATAGCCACCACCTGTCTCCCCACACCCTGCCTAGGATGTGCTCAGCATTGTGGCCAGCACATCGCCATCTGGACACGTCTCTGACATATGGACAGCGGCCGGGAGCCCGCAGGTCAGGCGATGTAAGAAGGGGAGCGAGAGAGCGGGGTGAAGAAGTCAAATGCAAAAGAAGGGCAGTGCCAGTAAGAGAAGAAGGAAGAAATGAAAAAGGGAAACGTCAGTTAATTCTCTCGTGAGTTATCCTCTTAGCTGAGCGAATAAATCAGAGTGCCGGGGAGAAATGTGGGACAATAGCTCTGTTAGACCTCCTGTCTGTCTTTGGATAATGTTCAGGACATGTACTGTACTTCGCTCCCTGCGCTCCCCTTTGGATCTCGTTTTCTTTCGCCTCTCAGTCTCTCTTTTTTCTTTTCCTATGCTGCATTTATCTCTCTCCTCCCTCCCAGACAGCTGGCAGAGGCAGTCTGGCATCAGGGCTGTCCAGACTTCCGCCTCCCGCACAGAGGATTTATAGCCTCCCCTTGTCGCTTGGCATTCTGAAATACCCTAAAATAATTCATTTACAACAGTCTGTGTAAGACTCTGCATGTTCATTTCTGAAGTCTGTGCTTTCTTGTTTTTAAACAGAGAGATGTTACCTGTCAGGGGTCCTTCTCTTGCCATGCTCATTCATCTCCAGCATTATCTCGGAGGAGTCGAGTGGTGAGCTGGCGTTTGCGTCCAGGAGTAGCTGCTCGTGTTGGGCCAGATACTGAGCTGGGGTCTGCTTGGCCAACCTGGCACAGTGAAGCAGTTCTCTCTGCAGCAAGGGCAGGTTTGCCTTCAGTGGAAAAAAGAGGGAAGACAGTATGTAAGTTGATATAGGAAGGACATGCTGTAGATTTACTGAACCTGTAGGAACATAGATTGTTGAGTGGACAGGAAAAGAGCTAGAAACTCACGGTGGAATCACAGATAGATGGGGTGAGAGTGAAATAATGCCAGATTAGGGTGAGGAAAAAGAAAGTGATCGATGAAGAGACAGGATGAGATAAGACAGGTCCCTTGACACATTCCTCTACCATGTGTCTCCCTCTCTTTCTCCGGGGTGTGCTGTTGTGTGTCTTTTATCTGTGTGTGTACGTGTGAATGTGTGTGCAACAGTGCTGTCAAATAGCTCTCTCAGACCTGTCTGGTTGATATAACACAGCTATTGCTGCGATGTCCCAGATGTGGAGGATCATCGCACGCCAGGAGGTCTGACACTCACACACACAAACTCACACTCACCCTTTTTGTCAGACATTACCATGCACGTCTTACCACTGTTTATGTACAGTATGATGTCTACCGCATGTACACACTGTACACATATAGATTCTCCTTTTTACTGCTCTTTGAATACTTTCACTGAAATGCTGTCCTGAGCGCTGACCACAGTGAGAAGTAAAGTTTGTGCATTTACCTAGAGGACATCAGGCTTGATTTGTTGAAATGTGCAGACATTTACCTTTAAGAAAGGAATGACGAACGGCCTCAGAGGGAAGTTGGTGGCCTCGTGAAGTTTAGAGTGAAATTCTTCAATGGTGAGAGTGGAATTCTATCCAAGACAACAAGAAGAAAAAAGTGCTTTTAATGCTTTATAGATCGCTCGCACAATCATTCCAACACATGCCATTTCCTTATTGTCTTCTCCACGTGCTTATATCTGTTTGTATTCTGTGCACACATTCTTGATTCTCAATGAGTAAATAACACAATAAGTTCCACGTAAGAGCTTAATGTAGCTTCAGATATTTATACAAAACGTTGTTACTGAAAAGATTCATCAGGCAAATTCTACACGAGCATAATCCCAATTTACCACCAGTCCCAGGACGAGGCTGCGCACTCTCTCTCCAATCTCAGGCGATATGTCGTTGCCAAATTGCTGCAGCGTGGTCAGGAAGCGCTTCAGTTTGCAGAGCTGCCGGGCGCCGCAGGCCGGCGGGAGCTGCTGGTTGGACAACGAGGCTGTCGAGGACATGGCCGGCCCGTTGCTGAAGCCGTTAGGAGTGGATGGAGCACCGTTTAGCGATGTAGGAGAGTGGCTGCTCCCATTCAGCACTGCAGATAAACAGACAGGAGGAGGAGGCGGCGTGAACTGGGTCAGTAGTTTCGGAGGGGCCTGAGGGGCATCTGACAGATCTAGGGGCATGACAAGGGCAGAAGCTTTTAAATCCTGCTGACAGAAGAGTGTTTGGCTGAGATGAATTAAATAAAGCACACAACAGGTTTAAAGTCGATACCACGCCTCCAGTAAATGACAACTGTAGTGATGCAATTTTCTGCTAGATGCCGTGAGTGTGTGTTTGCAGCAACTTCAGCTGTCTCACAAGTGGTACCATTTGACTCCCACCCCGACCCATCCATCTGCCTCTGTATCCGTCTATTTCGCCCTGCTTCTCACTCACTCACTCACTAGGACACAACTATATGAGGAACTTGTTAAAGAGATGCCAAAAATAGTCCTATGGCCTGTGTTACTTTTATTCCAGTAGCAGGTGTGTAGCTAAATCTGGGCCCGCACATGTCCACCAGCTGAAAGTACATTTGCAGCTTTGAGGTTCAGAATAGGCACAGCATTCATACACATTTATACTCACTCGCGTATTTTTCTTAATGCAGGCACAAACAAACAGAGAAAAACAAAAACACGTATGACCTCTCCCCTGAAATGCTCTTCTCCGGTCAGTCCCGTGTCTCACCAAATCTAAATAAATATATTTGCGTCTGGGTATGAATGCTGCGTGTTTGCTGGAATACCTAATTTCTAAAATTCCTAAAGCTGTATATAGCTTAAACTTCACGATAACAGCATATGACAGCACTTACAGTGAGCACAGCATCCAACCAGCTGCGTAATCTTTTCAGTGTGTATTTTTAGGGCTCTGTAGTGAGCTACTGTCGGGTATGATACTTTTCCATCATATTTTGATAAAGCAAAGACTATAGGCAGTTCAAATGTCCACTGGTGTGTAGCTGCTTTGGTTCCTCTCAGGCATGCTTGTTGCTCTAATCCACAGAACGAGGGCCTGAACACATATGGACTAACCCATGTGATTCTAATAGGCTGCACTTGTGTTCTGGTTTTAGAGAGCGAGGGAGAGGTGCAAGGAGAGATCTACACTCCTGACCACCCGCCACAACAGGTGAAACAACATAGTCTGCCATTGCTATATAGGGAAGAAAGCACTCTACACACTGAAACACCATCCTGGCCGATGTACCCTGAACCGACTGCCGCCTGACCAGCTGGTAAACAACATAGGCACACACGCATACACAATGCCATACACTTACATAGACACTCAAAGACACTTGTCCCACCAGCAAGGGCGTTATGCACTCCAAAAGACACAAGCACACACGGACGCCTGCAGGGAAACACACCTGACGCACAAGTGACTTCAACACTTGTTCATCAGAGCAGTGAAGAAACACATATTTGGAATTTCTCTTCCTTTACACAAGCGTATAGAGTGACACATGACAAAAGCAGAACAAATGGCTGCGAAGTTCATCGCAGACGGCTGCTAAGGTATTGCAAAAATGTATGGATTTGTGAAGAGTCTGATCAGGATGTGGTAGGTCTTAACGAATGAATTTTTCTTATTCTTACTGGAATAGCCCTACTTTCGTTTTCATGGCAAATTTAGGGGAAGGAAGGAAGAGTTTTAAGTCCTAGCAAAGACACAATAAGGCTAAAGTCACAACAAATCATAGACATTGAGATTAAAATATGACATCTATATTAACAGCTAAACCACAAACTGGTCCAGTTTGGTGTAAAGTAGCTTTTACCCCAATACCAACTACCTAATCTATGCTGTAAAGAAGCATTTACAATGCCTTGGACACCAGCGCATACAGCCACATCCTGTTTACTATGAGATAAAGGTTTAGAGCGACTCCACTCAAAAGTCACCAAAGCAGCACACCAGTCAGTGTTTTTCTTACACCCGTCTCACAGCGTGTAAGCGCTCAGTGGATTATGAACAATTTATTCCAAAAAGTTTGGACTCTAGATGACGCTCATAGTAAATAAATCACGGACTAAAGATGTTAAAGTATAAAGTGGACGTGTTGTTTTTCCTACTTAAAAATAGGATGGAATAGATAGAAAGGATCCTTACTTGATTTACTGGTGGTAGGGGTGAACGAAGCATTGCGATTGGTTGATTGGCTGACAGCCGGGGGTGGAGGAGGCATGGTGGGTGGGGTGGACCTGGGCTGGGTTTTCACATCCGCAGGTGAATCTGGCATTGTTCCAACCTTCTGCACTCTGCTACCTACAATATGAAAGGAGAAGACAGACACAGTTTGTCAAGAACGAACTCCAGCTTTACAAAAACAAAAAAAAGTGTATACCTAAAACTTCAAAGTGGAGACTGGTGGTTTAAAAGAGAGCACTGACATCTTCACCTGGGAGCCATTAGATGTTTTCTTAAGCCAGAAGCCCCACATATACAGAACAAAAACAAATCAATGCAGCAAGTGGAAATGAATCCAAACTTCTTTTGTCTTTCCCGATGGAAATTCATGGGCCTGGGAGACATAAAACACCTGCTCACTAGCTCAGCTGCTGCTGACTGAGAGCCCCCTTTCGCTTCCCTCTTGCTCTCTCTCCTTCACCCATGCACAATCCATGTAGCTGTGACATCCCAATCAGACCCCCTCCACTGTAACCTCCAACACCCACACACTTCCCCCCGCCTGTCCCTTCTCGTTCCCCAGTTCAGACAGCCGGCTTGATAGCCAGTGACAAGTGCAGCTGGATCTGCTGCTGTCCATCACTTTGGACTGGCTTTCAGCGGGGCTCTGTCCTGCTACCAGAGGCTTCACTGTCCTCTGCCAGACAGCCTGCCAGGACCAAACAAGGCAAGGCCAAGCTCTGGAGTGTGAAGGGAATGGATGGTACATCAACGGACATGAGAAGAAAACACAACACGTGGTTTATGTGACATGGCCACACGCATGTGCGTGGACAGATGCGCTACGTTGTACACTAGTGGCAAAGGGCCTCACGTAGTACAAAAAATCTTACACAAAAACACGGCCATGTGAAAAACTGCAAACACTAAGTCGATGTATCTATTTATCCAGCTATCTATAGAGCGTTGTCTTTCTGTCTGACTGTCAGTGCAGCTGCTGGATCCTTCTGCAATGTAAACTTGAGCTGAGAGTGTGATGACTTTTTCAGCTTGAGAAGATATTTTATAATGATGTGTATGACTGGCAAAGTGCAATGAATGCGCACCATGTCATAAGAAACAATAAAATCACTATTAACACTCAGTTTATGCATACGGTTGAGTACTAAAACTCTATTACTCAAGTAAACCCATCTATTCATGAACAAAGCCTAAGACAGAGGCCCGTCTTCTCTACTCTGGCAAAGCAGCACACTGTAGACTTTATGTGACATTCAATGCTTCCTACCCCATCCCTCAGCTTCTCTCTTTTTCCTATTTTCATCTGTCTTGTCATCACTGGATTAAAAAAAAAAGTAATAATAATTCTGTCCTTCCTCACTAACACAGAGAACCCAAACAAGTGAGCACAGTCGCTTTCATAGATCTTCATATAGTTGGCAGAACAGTATAAGCAAACCAACTTAGGGGCCAACAGAAACCTTTCTTTTCCTCTCTTTCCTTAATTTTCTTGGCTCAGTTGATGTATTTTGTTTTCTACTGTTACCATCCAAAATACAATATCAGACCACATTTATGATCTGGTTAAATAATACCACTGGTTTAAAGCATCCCTGCTGCCAATATCAGAGCTGATGTCACATTCATGTGCACATCATGGATGTTAACTGCATTTTAATGCAAGCACAGTAAGTGAGACTAACTTATTTGTGACAATAAGTATCTCTGAGAAGACAACGACCAAAGGTTGGAAGATATTTGCCAAATTTAGAGGAGGAGACAAATAATTATTTGCCACAGACAGCATTTTTGCAAAGTCAATAAAGTGTCCCTTGACTCAATAACTCACAGTCAGCTTCTTTAAGGTAGTCTGGGGGCTTTTACCTTAGCAGATGGTTTTGAAATATCGGATTTTACCATCATTAAACATGACACAAAATAGCGCAACAGATGAAATCTGTTTAAACAGTGTGTTCACACATATCTGCTGCTTGTCTTGGCTGGTAAAATGCACTAGAGGCACAGAGGAGCCTGCACCATGTTACAGCAACATGCCGAGACAATATTTTTTCAAACAAAGGAAAAAATTACACATCACTTTGCCAGTTTCACAAGAATGGACAAATGATTAGGCATATGATTCACTGTCTAAGTTTACAAACTTTCCCCTGCCATAAAAACACACACATTTTGAATTTTTAAGAGAGTCTGGAAGTTTCTCCTTTGTCTCTCTGACATTGCGTGCTGCTTTTTCCTTGTTCGCCTATGTTTGAATCTTGTCTGTGTGCTTTGAGGATGTTGTTGATGTAAGAAACGTGTGGCGAACGCCATTACAAATGCGTATTTTTGATTTATAAATTAATGTCATCCTGAGCCAAACATAACCAGTTAGCGATAATGTTTGGTAATGCATTTCTGCTAATCAAAAAGAGCTAATAAAACCTCTACCAGCATCGCTACTGAGGCATAATGTTTAACACTCACTGGGCTTTTTGTACCTTTACCCTGGTGTGTAGCTGGAGTATAGTAATCAGCTAATATATCAAATCACTACCACATAATGTGTTTTTCATTTCACTCCTGCGAAATGTTTTCCTACACACAACTCCTGCCTCAGTCGGCCTCGGTCCTTGGTGTTAGCCTATTTCTGAGAGCTCCGTTCAACAGCTGGTGTCTGTATTTAAAGAGTGCCACACTGGAGTGTGCAGTGTGAGAGCCATTGACACACTGATCCTCAAGAACACGAGGGGCACTCTGCTGTTTGCCCGATGCCAGACGCTCTAAACATAAACACACAAGGTTGCGGATAGAGGCAAACGAGGCTGGTTTGTATAAATAGATGCTCCTCTATACAGCACTAAACATGTAAAAACACATTACATGCTGTTGAATTGGTGGTCTTATTCCTTTATAGAAGCAGCCATATGTTTCAGTAAACCTCGTCTTTGAGCAAATTTATTATGTCACTCTCTGTACAAGATCTTTTCTAGTGTGTACGGTTAGTTTTTGAGAGGAGAGGAGAGGAGATGAGAGGCGAGGAGGAGAGGAGAGGACGAGGATAAGGGGACCATTCAGTCTGTCTGCTCCCACCGTGGGATTATAGACAGCTGTTTAATCTGACCAGCTACAGAGACAGGGCGCACACGTACACACCATGCTCTGGATTTTACTTTTAATACATTAGGAAGTCTGCAAGGTCTGCATCCCCATCTGTGGCCATCTGTGCTCCAATTGTGCTTCGTGTTGAAGGACAAAATATTTATACCAAAAGAAGTATAAAAAGAGAGCTGGGCATGGCAGGTGAAGTGGACCTGTGGTTAAGATTCAGGTTTGGACTATGCTATTTCTCCCTCACTTGCACACATCTGAGTCTACTAAGAAGGCCACTTTAGGGACAAATACATCTTTTTTTTTGGTCCAAAATATCTCTGAATATTGTGCTGAAAATTAGACGGCACGATACAACCGTTACCTTCCTCTCTGAGGCTGTTTGCCTCTGTTTCTCAGACTCTCTGAACAGCTGTATCTCTCTATGTTTGACGTAATCAGGGCTAAAAGATTGCTCGCCAAAGAAACAGTCCTCAGTCTAAAAATGTTCTCTGTCTCCTGTTCTCTCCTTGTGCCATGATGAAACGAGATGAAAAACAATTCACTGCAAGACACACAAAACCACAGATAACATACTGTACGCGGGCATGTGCACAGTGCAGTGGTTTGTCTAAGTCATTTGAGGGTCTCATTATAGATTCAGAGACACATGTTTTCATTTTAGTTCCTTAAGACGAGCGCAGATAGAGATATGACGACCACCATGTAATGATAAGATATTAGAAGGTCATTCAGATGCTGGTTGTGCAGCGTGGTCTCATTTTACGTATGCATATGCCCGCGTGTTGACTGTATGTGTATCTAGGCATTTGTTCTTCCACTGGAAATGCGGCTGAAACTTATTAGCTTTAGCTAACCACTGCAGAACAGTCCCCTTAAATCCCCCCTGTCTATTCAGTCTCTCATACTCCACAGAGACTCTTGTCAGTGACCACATAGCCCTAAAATTCTCTCTCTGTCTCTCGCTCCCTCCCTCCCACTGTAATTCCCCTAGTCTCCAGGAATGCTGTTGTTTTTAATTTCTCCCAGCTGCTCTGGCTGGCTGCCCAGCCGCCTGGCTTTCCACATCTGTTCCCTATCACGCCGCTGTGGAGTCCACACAAACAGAGCCTAAGCCCCTGGCCCCCAGACCCCCACCAGGCCTTAGAATCAAAACACTGGGGATTGCAGGCCTTGCTTTTTGGACCTGGGACTAAGGGCTACAGCACCTACAGTACAATCCATTATTATAGTACCAGCACAAATATCGTTCAAATAAAAAGGAGTGTGAACGTCATTAGCACACAATTAATGTCATCTTCCCAAAACCTAGAGCAAGTCAATGTATTTGTTTCTGTCTGTGTGCCTGCTTCTCCATTTTGACATTTACCTTGTTATCAGGGTGCACCGCGCCACAGGTAAGATAGGAATGTGTGTGCGTGTGTGCATAAATATTTGTGAGTCTGCACCGAGGCTGCTCCTGCAGACAGATCCCAGACTCCGCTTCATCTTGAGCTGATTTAGAGTTCAGAGGCTTTAAAGCCCTCACTAATGACAGGGTGGGAGGCAGGCCGGTGCAGTGTGTGCGCACACAAACGCGCTTGTACATCTATCTTTATGAGGACTCACGTTAAAGTAGTGTATTCCCTGTCCCCATCGCACTAAGCCTAATCTAAACCAATTTCTAACCTTAAGTCTTAACTCTGAAGCTGCCTGTTGAAGGTAACTTCATAGCAATGTCCTCACTCCTACGGTTCAGATTACAGTTGCTCAAGAACACTCTCAAACACACACACACACACTATAAACAGATGCACAGATGGTTTCACACGTGCTTACAAGTTTTCAAAATACGTATGCTCATGCTGTGGACACAAACATGGACATTTTGCCCTTTGTTACTTAAGAATCGCTGTGATATTACACATGTGCAGCATATGGCACAATAAACACGGTGACCAATAACAAACAGGGGAATAAGGAAGGGAGGATGGGGGAGGACTGGTTGTCTTCAAGCACTGACAACAGCCGGGCTGTCTTTGATCAGATTA